GGTTCAATAACGAGATTCGATGAAGCTTTTAAGCGCGCCAGAATCACAGAATTTTCCTTCATGGTCCGTATATTTTTTATGGATTTTCGCTTACCGCAAACGGTACACACACTATGACCAGGCATTTTCCATTCGCATATACAGGAAACACAAGTGATACTTACCCCAATAGGTTGGCTAGAAGTCACCCGATAAAGATTACTTTTAGTACCAAAGCCGACAAAATATGAGCTATACGATGATAAAGAACGTCAGGTAGCGAACATATTAATAAGACCAATAGAAGGCGTAAAGATCAATGTTTGATGCAAGAACGAATAAAGAGCAACAAAAGATATATAAGCAAGTAATAGCAAAATAAACTTTAAACCACTGTGCAGAACAGAGTACTCGGGCGCTTACTAGACAAACTTATGGACGAAATTGTGGAGAACGTAATAAAGCCTGTTGCTAGCCTTATATTATTTCTGCCTTATGTTGGATCCGTTATTTTGATTTTGATAATTTTTACAATGCGATATCTTGCTAGTAATCAGTGACCCACACAAACTCACACTATAATTACGTAAGAGTGCCAAGATTTTATCCTTCCTTTCGCCTCAAGCTGTATTTGAATCCGGTTAAATCATACAAAAATCACGGAATTTCGTCGCTCAAGCTCATGTTGCACTACCGGCCCATAGTTTAATCAAGGCTATATTAATCGAGCATACTTCTGACATCGTCACACGAATTATATACGAATTTCAAGATGTAATCTTTCTTGTATTTGCCTCAACCTACGTTTGAATCCGGTTAAATTATGCAAAAATCGATGAATTTCGTCATTTAAGGTAATGTTGCATTACTAAGGTACCGGTAATCAATACGACATGGTTTGTGCACAACTCTAGAATGATCATACGACTCATACAAGTGGATTTGATTTCGATACTGGCGTTTTCCCCGCGATATAGAGCGCGATTTTTTATAGACTGTTGATATCAACATTTTGATACATTAGACACTCCCCCTTCCATGTGACGTTATTTTTTCGATCGGAAATCATATTTTCTCATATTTTACTGACCCTAGAAGATATTCCAATGAAAATCAATTGAATCGGTTGTGGGCCGAAAATTGACCAAATCGAGCCTGGTCCTTTGTCGAGGATGGTCAATATATGATTTAAAAAAATTTTTAACACCCTATTCACTCACCCACGCAACCATCCACGCATCAACAAATTTATAAACCGATATTCTTGGGATCATTCTAAGTCAAAAAGGACACGTATGCCCTAAAGTTGATTACAGCAAAAAGACGAAATTGCATAATATAAGATAAATATTATTTATTAAAAATAATAATTTTATTTATTGAACAATAATATTATAGAATTACTTTATAAACTGTGCGATAATGTAGATCATAAAGGTGTTTTTCTCGCATTTGTGTGGTGAAGTAAGGCATACATTGAATCGTTGAAAAATAAGCCATCTTTCGCACGCTAAACAGCAATAGAAATTTGAATTTTCGTGACTGGCATTACAAAAAATAATTACATACGTTGTCATAGTAAAAAATAAATAATAAATAAATGTGTAAATAATTAAAAAATAATTTTTAATTATTATTACAAAAATTAATTTTTATTATTTATACATTTATTTATTATTCATTTTTTACTATGATAACACATGTAATTTTTTTTGTAATACCAGTAACGAAAGTTCCAATTTCAATTGCTATTTAGTGTGCGAAAGATAAATTTCTCAACGATTCAATGTATGCCTTATTTTACCGCACAAGTGCGAGAAAAACACCTTTATGATCTATATTATCGCACAGTTTATAAAGTAATTCTATAATATTATCGTTTAATAAATAAAATTATTATCTTCAATAAATAATATTTATCTTATTATATGCAATTTCGTCTTTTCGCTGTAATCAACTTTAGGGCATACGTGTACTTTTTGACTTAGAATGATCTCAAGAATATAAAGTTTTACTGTGGACATTACGTTGCAGGACACCTGTATATATATAAAAAGAGAGTGTAATAATTATAATTGATTATAAAGTACATAATTTTTTGTAATAAATAAATGATTTATATGAAAGTATTTTCGAAATTGAGCAGATAATAATATTATCATTATCGGAATAGAGCAGTAGTTAGATAAGATTGTATTGAAAGAGATAGATTTTATTTTTGATTATATAGATATTGTGAGTATTTATATGTATATATAAAATTTATATATTTATTTATATTTGTCTACTATATGCGCACAATAAACATTTATAATTTCTAGAAAAGCAGGCTATCTCGAGTAGACATAAAACAGATAAAAATAATCTTGTAAGTTCCTATAAAATTTTTTTTATAACGCATCGAGATATTTGTCTAAAAACGGATTCTATATGTCCATGAAAAATTATTCACTTTTACGAAAACATCTTGTATATATGCAATATCTATATAATCAAATAAAATTATTCCTTTCAATATCTTATCTAACTATTGCTCTGTTCCGATTATAATAATATTATAAAATATTTTCATAAAAATAATTTTTATTTATTACAAAGAATTATCTACTAAAACTTTATAATCAATTATAATCATACAAAATTTTTATTTTTACGTGTGCATGTTGAGAGAGAAGAGACAGAGAGACAGAGAAACAGAGACACACAGATAGATAGATAGATAGATAGATAGATAGATCGATCGATAAATAGTTCAATAGACAAATACCTAAATAGATAGATTGATATATATATATATACATATATATAACCACAAATACAATATATATATATATATATATAAATATAATATATATATATATATATATAAAAGTTTTTTCGCCAGTTCTGGGACACCCTGTGTATGTATATATATATATGTATATATATATATATATATATATATATATACACATATATATATTATATATATTTTTTTTATCAAATATTCCGATTTATTATGTACGTAAAAATGCGCATCAGATCTTAACGTATCTATACGCGTAACATACGTATATATATATATATATATATATATATATATATATACGTATGTTACGCGTATGAACGTGTATAGCACCGGGCGACGTGAGTGAGGCGTCGCGCAGTAGATCATATCAACGTATAATACGCGCGGATTACTGTGGTACATACATACTACTGATACCGCGCGAATACGAAAGATCTGACGCGCATTTTTACGTACATAATGAATCGGAATATTTGATAAAAAAAATATATATATATATATACATATATATATATATATATATATATATATACACATATATATATTATATATATTTTTTTTATCAAATATTCCGATTTATTATGTACGTAAAAATGCGCATCAGATCTTTCGTATTCGCGCGGTATCAGTAGTATGTATGTACCACAGTAATCCGCGCGCATTATACGTTGATATGATCTACTGCGCGACGCCTCACTCACGTCGCCCGGTGCTATACACGTTCATACGCGTAACATACGTATATATATATATATATATATATATATATATATATATATATACGTATGTTACGCGTATAGATACGTTAAGATCTGATGCGCATTTTTACGTACATAATAAATCGGAATATTTGATAAAAAAAATATATATAATATATATATGTGTATATATATATATATATATATATATATATATATATACATACACAGGGTGTCCCAGAACTGGCGAAAAAACTTTTATATATATATATATATATTTATATTTATATATATATATATATATATATATTGTATTTGTGGTTATATATATGTATATATATATATATCAATCTATCTATTTAGGTATTTGTCTATTGAACAACAGTTTTAAGAACGCATCTATATGGTCTTTTTGAGGGGGTGGTGGAAGAACAATGTCAGGAGGTGGTTGGCATAAAGCGTCTGCTATACGTTCTAAGTAGCTGTTTTGTGACTCTGCTCGCCTTCTCTTTCTTACATGATCTTGAAAAAAAAAATAATTTAAAACCATTTTCTTCTAATTTCAAAATTTTAAAATAAACTGTGATAATTATTCAATACTTCCTGATATACTCGTATCTTGACTATCTTCATTATTAGTAACTTCTAACATATTCGCATCTTGGCAATCTAATTCATTATCATTCTCGATAATACTGTTGCTGTCTCCATCGTTAATATTAGAAATCGTACTGTAAAGAAATAAAATTTATTATTTTATATAAAAAAATTAATACAAAAATAATTTTCTAGTATTAAAAATAATGAAATCATACAAATGCATTATTAACCTTTTTTGTAAGCAACTATCTCGAAGGAATTCCATACTTTTATAATGTTTCCATTTGCTCATGTTGCTTTTGGAAGCAGATCCACTTGGTAGTTTCTCAGCGTTCACAAGTCTCCTATAAGTGTCGTGAAAATTCTTGAACTTGCTTTTACATCCAGCTGCGCTTAATTTCCCTGTAAAAACATTCTGTTTTAATATATTTTTTTAAATTCTTGAGGCTTCCACGGGTACTATCTTCAAGTTTGCTGAGTGTTTTGCGGGTTATCTCCATGTGTAAGTTCATCCTTGGATGCTATGGATGCTTGGATAGTATCCAAGGATGAACTTACACACGGAGATAAAACTCGCGAAACACTCAGCATATTTTTTTAATATTATAAATAATAGACATTTATATAACCATTAAAAGTTTGAGAAACTTCTTCCCACAAAGCTCTTGTAATTCTGCAATTTCTTTGAATGAGAGGTAATCTAAAATTCCATAGTGGTTCTCTGCATTGGACTTCTAATATTAGCATCTCCTCCTCCTCAAGTGACAGTTTTTCCTTTGCGCTCTTTTGATTGAAATTTCTATTATTATTAATGGATCGAATATTCTCTGAAACAAAAATAAAATGTATATCATACAAACATAATATGTATAACTTCTCATTTATAATGTTTTAAAACTTCAAGAATTTATTACATTTATCTGACCTTGATTATCACCATAAAAAGGTACAGATGCTATTGTTTCAGCGTCCTGTGTCAAGCTTCTTCTAACAATAGTTTCTCCATCGTCTAAAAAAACATTATTAAAAAAACGTCAGATTTAATAATTTTTGTAATTAACTTAAGTAAAATATATATATATATATATATATATATATATATAAAATACCTAATACAGGGTAAAAGTACAAATTATTATCTGTAATGAAATTAGAATATCCTTGAAGACACTCATGGCTGGGTACTTCGTCCTCATTACATATGATTTCACATAATCCACACGTTTGAACACGAGACTACAAAAAATATTTTAGAAAATATCTTATATAACAAATATTTTATTTACTTCAATGTTTTTTTGCGTACGTTACATAAAATATTATTACTGACATAACTTATATGATTAAAAATAACAGATTTATATTTATATGTAAAACAAGATATGTTAAAGTGTTGCTCGAAATTGACCTTTCTCAATTTATGTTTACTTATAATGTTAAAGACATAATAATGTCCTTAATTAAGGGGATGCTGGAGTTGTGCAGGGACTTTTGTCGTACATAATCTCGAACACGAGCAATATTTGCTTTATGTAAAAATTCTACAGTTTGTGTTATGTGCAAAATAAGAGTCAGCGTATGCGCGAGACAACATATCTGAACAATATCGTGCAATTGGAACTAAGGTTAAAAGCCTAGAAAAAAAGAAAAATGTACTTAAAATTTTGTACAACCTTCGCATACGCTGGCTCTTATTTTGCGCATAACAAACTGTAGAATTTTTACATGAAGCAAATTTGCTCATATTCAAGGTTATGTACAACAAAAGTCTCTGCACAGCTCCAGCATCCCCTTAATATTAATAATAATATTTTTATAATAATATATATGTACATGTTTATTATATTCATCAAACAATATTATTATACTTACCATTTCGATATCCATTCAAATCTTTATCGCTCGCTAATATCGCTTGTAGTTGGAAAAATCGAACTACATTTCACGTCGCTAGCGACTTACATGACGTCATCACATTGCAGAAAACGAGCGTCGAGCGACAGCATGAAAAGATACCTTTATACGTTGATATGATCTACTGCGCGACGCCTCACTCACGTCGCGCGGTGTTATACACGTTCATACGCGTAAAAACAAAGCAGCGTATACAACGTATCGTTGTCAAATTTTACATACTATATATTTATTATATATAGTTAGTTTTTTTTAGTGTGTTATTGAGTTTGTGTGTTGTCCACACCATGGGACAAACATATAACGCCAAACGTTTGCCTCTTGCGAGACGTAGAGTTTCCTTCAAGAAGGGCTGGATGTACAGGTTAGTTTTTTTATTAACATTTTCTATATATGCATACATATACATACATACACACATACATACATATATATATATATATTGTGACGTGACACTTTTTTACTGTCCGTCACAAGGGCCGAAGGCGAGAAATTCGGGAACCTTTGCTCTCTCGCCAATCTTTGAGAGAGAGAGAGCACCCGAAAAATCATTTTTGCGTTTTCTACCGCGTCGGAGGATGCGCTTCGCGCACCCGTTTCGCGAATTACTTTATTTATGATTTTTGTTTAAGCGATTTTTGCGTTTTTGGCGAGCAATTTTGCATAGGGTACGTGTCTCAACCGGAGAAACAAAAAGAGAGAAAGGACGAAGAGGACGATTTAGGACCGAGCAAATACCACCAAGTCCGGATCACGCCCGGTAAATATTATTTTCACATAGATTTTCTGGATTGCTCCTCCCGTTAAGAACCTGGATACCGCCGTAAAATGTTCCTTCTTTTGCAGAGATTCCGGCCAGAGACGGGGATGGCCACTCTCTCGCAAGAGGCGAGAGAGCCCCGGAAACAAAAGGCGCGGGAGATATCCTGCCTCGAGCCTCCGCAGATCCGGATACACAAAAGTTCACCATCGACCAAACAATCGATCGTGCGGATTTTTGGAGGAACCGCACAAAGGCGCGCTCAAAGGAGTCTCCCCGACGAACATAAAGAGGAAGAACGGAACCCGAAGCGGAAGCACAGAGGAACGGCGAGAGAAAATTTGCATCAAGCAAATTCGCAGGGCCCCGCGGGGTACCCGGCGGCCCTGCCAGGATAAGGAGCGCCACGGGTGGAAAATGCCCCATTTATTATCGGCGTGATCCCGGCAGGCCTCTTGCTCGTCACTGTCCGGCGGAGCGTTCTGGAGAGTAGAGGTTCCTGCGCGCGGATGCCGAAGCATCAGAGGACCCCTTGATACCGGTGAGACGAACGGCCCTATATACTCTTGTAAAACCGCTAAGTTCTTTTGTGAGTACCGTATTCGGGAGAGAAGCGTGTCACGGCCGCGGCCGGTTATTAGATTCACCGGTGTAATTTCGCGATATTTCGAGAGGTTTGATTTAGAGTTTCGTTCCGCGTAGAATTTATCCCGGCGCCCGGCCGACCGCGTGCTCTCTCCCGCGCGTATATTAAGAGAGGCTCTCTCTCCCGCGGATACGCCGACAGTCGCCGCGATTTCGTCACATTAATGTAGAACAAAAGTATCGTTTCGTGATTATTGTGTCGTTCTCGTCTGTTAGAGTTTCTATATCTGAGAATAGAAAATTGTCTAGAGTCACGCATCCGAAATAGCGTATTCTTTCCCGCGCATATCATTATCCGCGTAGTTTTCTGATTCTTTGTAAAATATTGCGAGGGACGACCGGAGTGATCGGTCGCAAAGGAAGTCGCGCGGGACCTACTGCAGTTTACGGAGATTTTGTATCGCCTACAACCATCAGAATTAATTTCGCCGCACGGACCTTATTAAGTCTCGTGCGTTAATAATTATTCGACACGTAGGCGCGCGAAGTTACTTCCGGGTCTCGCGTGCCGTCCGATATCACCGCGTCGGGTCGTCTCAAAGGCGCGGAACAATAACAACGCGCCGCGTCTCGGCCGTAAATACGCTACATTATATTGTTCGAATCAAATTTCGGCCTCGCTTATTTGTATTTCGGTGTCACTAAAACGGAGTTTACTCCGTAGTATATCGAAAGAATCTTGATTTTTCTTTCTTGACCTAACAATTTTACTCAAGCTTTTATACAATTATTTTTCTGTCTATCTTCGTTCATCATTGTTCAAATATATTAAATGCTTGTTACATTTGAGCGATTTCAAATAGCCTCTCTCGAATTCCGTTCTCTCTCCCGTCCGAACTCCCCTCTCTACCCCCTGACGATCTGAGCGAGTCGATTATCGCCGTCGCGGAAAATTTCAGGATGATTTACGGATTATAAAGGTCATCTGTCGATTTGTAGATTTTCAGAGTGGCGCGAATCTCGCGCCTGGCGCCCAATTAAACATATTTTTCGTGTTTATGCGAATTTCCCGCTTTCCGCGCCGAAGGTGTGCCGTCGGCCATTTACATCGGCCCGATTTCCCGGATCTTTTTCGATTCGACGGACTAACAAAAATAACGGTTACAATATATATATATATACATATATAATATTGAACAATATTATCATTTAATAATACCATATTATCTACTCCTTAGAGAGATATTCACACCACGATATTATCATCGTTAAATTAACACGATACAAACTGTCATTAACCTTTCACCATTAAAATTACACGATACAAATAGGGAAGTATACAAAATAACAAACTATATATAATTTTTTTTAAATAAATGTATATGTTATTTAAACAATATAAACACTAAAAGTTTGAATTTTTTACATTGTTAAATGATTAAAATTAATTAATAAAATGTTTCAATTTTACAAATATTTTACGTGACGTAAAAACGGCCGATGATTAGTCGATTGAGTAATGACGTCAAATAATGTATGTCATCTTCAGTGCGCTATGAGAACACGTTAGTATAATAATCTATATTTAAGAAAATACGCTAATAATTGGTGTAAAAATGGTTGAACCAGGCTTTGTAAAAGCTGATTTAACCAATATACCAAAAATAGATATATTTATGGTGGCAGAATTTGTTAAAAACGATACTAGATATAATGCAGCAGAGATCCGGTTGGTTAAAACATTTTTGTAAGTACAGATAAAATATATATCTATTAATAAATAGTACACGTATATTAATTAAAAATTATTTTACAAGACTGATTGATTATAAATATTGTTTTCATATAGATCTAGTCGAAAAAGTTATGGCGATACACTGCAATAGGTTATGTCTGCTTACGAAGAGAAGGCTCGATTTGCACAATTAAAGAATGTAATTTTCCATGTCCTCTTTTAACTGGAAAAATATATAACAATTTTAATGTTTGAACAATTTTAAACATTTTTATTTATAATTTAATAACTTTAAAGGACTTAATAAAAAAATTTAGTATTTAGAGGTTAGACAAATAATATATAAGTTAAATGCCTGAAAAACAGTAAAAAAAATAATAATTTTTTATAAACTTACATTGAAATGATCCTCACAACAATAATAACAAGATTTTGTTGGTTCATCTGCTCGATGAGCTTTAAACTTAAACCATAGTTTTCTTCTCTTTTCTTACGCTTTTTTTTTTTTACGTCAGGAATGTGTTCAACACATACCCTCCACCTCGGGGGAGGCTTCGGGTTATGCGGGGATGGGAATGGGCAGAAGGCCCATTCCCGACCCGCTAAACCTGACGGTGGTCCTCCTGGCGCTACTCGGAGGCCCCGGGAATCGCTTTCGCATGCAGTCGGTGCCTCCGAAACGCCGTGACGCACCCCTTTCGGGACAAGTCCCGTCAGGCGGAGAAGAGTGGAGACCACCACCACTCCTCTCCCCTCCTTGGAGAGCCGCGTGCAATGAGTTCGAGGGCCCCCGCTCTCGAAATCTGCAGCTCTCCCGTCCCAGGTGTTGAGGCTCCCTCCGCCCCCAATAGGGGGTTAGGATTCGGCTCCAACACCGGAGATCTCTCCTGAGAGACCCCCTTCGAGAAGGAAGTCTCTCTATGCGGGAGGGAGGGAAGTACGACTCTCCTGAGTGTCCATCTCCCCTCCGTCCCGCATCATCTACTACTAGGATCCCCACGCGGGGGGTCCCGGCCTCCTCCCTCCCCCAAAAGGGATCGGGATCCGGCCGGGCCCTCCGGGGGGCCCCGGACGGGGGAGCCCGTCCCCCGGAGGAGACGGACCCCCCCGCGCCTTCACTTCTGAGGGAGAGGCGCTAGGCGTTTGCCCCGCGCGTCTCCCCTCTCCCCTCTTCACCCAGAAGGGACGGAGCCCGGCCCCGTCCGCCCCGAGAGCTGCACCCCGGCGATAACGCCGGGGCGAGCCCACGGGGCCCCCGACCGGGCTCCCCCCCTCTCCACTGGAGGTGCCGACAGGCACCCCGGTCCCCCAAGCCGGTGCCTGGCCGGTCGGTTGAAGTCCACACAAAGTGGACATCCCCGGCCGGACAGGCACCCCACCTTCTTGTGGCCAGGGGAGCCGCAGCGGTAGCAGCGAGCCCCCCTGTCCACCTCCGAGGTGCACCGACGCCAAGTATGGCCAGGCCACAGGCACCGGTAGCACCTCGCTACTCCCATGACGTTAGCGACCGTTGCGTCGCTAGCTCCCCCTTTATTGTTGTTGTTGCCCGTCTTGGCAACAACCTCCCACCTCTCCTTATTTTTCTCACACCCCTCCTCCTCCCTCCCCCCACCCCAGTGGTCCTCCTTCTCTTCATCCCCTCCTTCCGACCACTTTAGCCCACTTCTCGGCTCCTACACCCCCCTCCACGTTGCCCCCTCCCCTCCCTTCCTCAGAGGCCACTCGGGCTACGCCCGTCCGACCGAGTCTCTCCGGGACCTCCCGGGTCACCCCCATTTGGTCGCCCTCAACCTGTCTAAGGCGCCTCTCCAGGAGCCCCAGCCAATCCGAATTGGCCGCCAGTCTGGAGGACATGTCCTCCAGCCTGGCCACCAAGTCCCCCGGTGTCAGGGTCTCCCGGACAGGCGCCTCAGTCCCCTCGGTGGACTCCACCACCATCAACACCTCCTCTTCCCCCCTCGGCAGCTCCTGCCCACCCTCCTCCTCCTCCGTTTGTATCCCC